GCAGGAACTGCCCAATTTTTTGTTACTTTGTTCTAAGGTCTGTGGGGTTCTTTCCACATAAAATCTAAAACAAGTACAATATAATGGGAAAGCAGACAAAAAATCAGTCATAAAGCAGTATCATTTGCATCATGATGTTTGTCAGATGCAAAGGGTATCAGGTAGAGATGGTTAACGAAAACAGTATCACTAGCAACTTGTCAGCCTAAGAGATTAATTTCTGTTAATCTGCAACTTTGACCAGCTCTTTTTCTCTTAATATTTTTTGTAGTACTGAGCTAAAAGTGCAAATTTATTTTGAGCTATCTAGTGCGTAAGAGTCCTTTTAAGAGTAGATGATAATTAGTTAGTTAATGGCCATTGAACTTCTCGATATTATCTTGATGCTGCTTCATGAAACAGCGCTTCACGTGAGGGCAGGATGGAGAAGGAAGAAGAGTATCAGAGGAATTGCTATATTGGAATGTGTTTGCAAGGAATTAGGAGGGGCTACTGTAGGCAGCGCAAATAGTGCCTTGAGCTACAGTGAATTTCTTCCGCTTAAAAGTGAAACAGTTTGCTGATATCTTTACATTATCAATAGAAAAGATTTGCGGAAGCTCTGGTTTAAGGTGTGAAACTTTGTGGGTGCCTGTATCAGTTCTTTCTTTCACTCTGAGGGTGACGGAGCCCTGGAACAGGCTGCCCAGGGAGGTTGTGGAGTCTCCTTCCCTGGAGATATTCAAGACCCACCTGGACAAGGTCCTGTGCAGCCTGCTGTAGGTGACCCTGCTTCGGCGGGAGGGTTGGACTAGATGACCCACAGAGGTCCCTTCCAACCCCGAACATTCTGTGATTCTGTGAATCTTTTTCAAAAGGCTATTGGTAAACCAAGTGAGACAACTTCTGTCAATTTTTCTTTGCCTTAGGCTCTTAAAGGATGTTTCTTTAATACATAGGAACCCTTTTTCTTTTTCTTCCCCCCCCCCATTTTAACAAATCAGACCACTGGAGGCAGAATGTTCTTTTGGACCCCAGAATTACTTCATGTGATGTGCAGCTGATCCAATGGGAAATACAAGGCAGCCCATGTTCCTGGGGGGCAAAAAAAGAAAGAAGTAAAAGATTTTTGCAAAATATGTTAAGAAAATAATTAAAGTATAAAAAGAACTAGTTGTCTACATGTTTTTCTTCACTGTTGTG